TAACTCAAAAATATCATATGGACCTACTCGTGTGATCACATCATCAAAATAACATGTAAAATCGTGATTCCACCACTAATTTGCTCGTATCTAGCCACAAGTTACTTAATTACATCAATAAACGCTAAATGAATCAACTCCAATGCATGAAAATGAGTTTTCCAAAGTTTTACCCAAAAAAGTCAAAAATCGCCCCCCGGGCCCACATCGTCAAAACCCGAGGTTCGAACCAAAACCCGATTACTCATTCCCCCACGAACCCAAATATATAATTTGTTTTGACATTGGACCTCAAATCAAGGTCCAAATCCCCATTTTTTAAAAAACCTAGGTTCTACCTAAAACACCCAATTTTCCCCATAAAAATCATTGATTTTGAGTTGAAATCATGTGAAAAGATGTTAATGATTGAAGAAAACGAGTTAAAATTGACTTACAATTGATTTAGAAGAAGACTTGTTTTTGAAAAATCGCCTAAAAGTGTTTTGGTTTTGAAAAAGTGTGAAAAATGAAAACTTTTCGGCTAAGTATAAAATTTGCAGGTTGCAGATATGGGAATTGTGACCAGGGTTCGCAATTGCAAACCCCGACCTCTGCTATGTTCGCATTTGCAAACAAAATGTCGCATTTGCGACCAAGTAGATTTTCCGGTCTTCTTCGCATTTGCGATAGACCTCTCGCAAATGCGAAATCGCATTTGCGATATAAGAGTGGCATTTGCGACTAAGGCAGTAGCTGGGGGGAATCGCATTTGCGATGGGGACCTCGCATTTGCGAGGCAATGCTGGCCTGGGCTAGTTCACATTTGCGACATAGCCTTCGCAAATGCGAAGCCTGTAGGCCTGCAATACATCAGTTCAAAATCTGCAACATCCTAAGTCAAAATTCCACTCTGTGGCCTATCCAAAACTCACTTGAGCCCTCGGGGCTCCAAACCAACCATGCACATCAACCTAAAAACATCATACGAACTTGATCGTGCATTCAAATCGCTAAAATAAAATCAACAACTATGAATTTAGCATCAAAATCATGAAATTTCTTAAGAACTTCAAACTTGCCAAATTTCTCAAATAAGGTCCGATTCACATCATTTCAAATCCGTTTCTTACCAATTTTTACAGACTCGACTCAAATCATATATAAGACCTGTATCGGGCTCCGGAACAAAAATACGGGCCCGATACCCATGGTTTCAAACACATTTCTCTTTCAAAAACTCATAATTAATTCAACAAAATAATTTCTTTCAAAAATTCATTTCTCGGGCTTGGGACCTTGGAATTCGATTCCGGGCATATGCCCAAGTCCCATATTTTCCTACGAACCCTCCGGAACCGTTAAATCACTGATCCGAATCCGTTTACCTAAAATGTTGCCCGAAGTCAAATTAATTTATTTTACTATCAAAATTCATCATTTTTTCACAAATTTTCACATAATGTCTATTCGGCTACGCGACCGGATTGCGCACGCAAATCGAAGTAATGCTGAAAGAGGTTTCTAAGACCTCGGAACGCATAATTCATTTCTAAAATAAGTGATGACTTTTTGGGTCATCACAGTTATTGTTGTTATTATTTTTGTTGACACATATTTATAGTTACAAGAATACAATAACATATTCACAAGAGTTAATACTCTAAAACCCTCCTAAATTATACAACCTTTGTTAGTTACCGACCTAAACTATAACTTGTTCCTGAAAACCCCCTGAACTATATTCCCCTTCATAGTTAAACCCCCTTGTTGCTTATATGGTATAATATGTGTAATAAATCGCTAAAGAGCGTGTGAAGGTCGAAAAAATCCATTAAAATGGCAACCTAACAGTGTCTAACAACTAATTAGCCATTTTTTTAAAAAATTTATATTTCTTTTTTATTTTCTCCTCTTTCTCTTTATATTTCACCTTCCTCATTTTTTAACCTTCCTTCTCCATTTTTTTCCTTTTCTTCTCCATTTCTTCATCTGAATCAATTTGAAATTCTCCCCTTTTATCTTTTTCATCTGAAAGACAAAGCTCCCTAATCTTCTATACCGCTTTCGAATAATAGCAAGAATAGACAGAGCAATTGAGGTTAGAACCAAGATTAATGGAGAAAATCGCTACTGAGAGAAGGTGTAGCCATACTCCGATGAGAACAAAGAGAAAATAAGTTTTTTTCACTATTTTTAACCCAGCCCCTTTTTTATTTTTACTGTTGACCCAAATAAAATTCTAATTAAGTCTGTTTATATCCATGTAGATTGCGACATGGCATATTTTAAAAATAATTTGGAGCATATATTATACGCACTAGTTAGAATGCGATAAGAGAGTTTTATTCTGAAGGGGGATATAGTTCAAGGGGTTTTCGGGGACAGACGGCAGTTTAGGTAGATAACTGACAAAGGTTGTATAGTTTAGGCGGGTTTTAGGATATTAATTCTATTCAAAAGAGTTAATACCCTAAAATCCCCGTAAATTATCATATTTTTGTCAGTTTCTTACTTAAACTATTCGGTGTCCCCAAAACCCATCTGAACTATATTTTCCTTCATATTAAAAAGCCCTCATTGCATTCTTAGAGGTGCGTGTAGTACACACTCCTAATTATTTAAAAACGTGACACGTAGCACTACACGTGGCTATTTAACTTAGCCTAAAACCTGCCTGAATTATTACTTTTTTGTCAGTTACCTACTTAAACTATTTGGTATCTCCAAAATCCCCCTGAACTATATCCCCCTATATATTAAAATCTCATGCTGGACTTTTAAAGGTTCGTTTGTCTAACTATATTATCTTATGTTTATTCATGATGTATTACTCTCGGATGATTGATTAATTTTAGGAGTTTTCGCCAAAGTAATATTTAATTTAATGTGTTAAATCCAAATGTGTCAATATAGTTTAGGGTGTTTTGGGAACACCGAATAATTTAAAAAAATTGACAAAAATATGATAGTTTAGGAGGATTTAGGGTATTAACTCTATTCAAAACAATAAAGTTCTTAATGTACTTTCCGTCAAACTTCATAATGAAAAGTGAAATTTAAGAAATGTTAATTTTTTTCATCACTAAAAAAGGGACAGTCGAATTTCATCATGAAAATGAAATTTAAGCATGGTAGAGCTAGAGACTAAGATACGATTCCATTAAGTTTAATGACTTTGATTTAAACGTTGTAATTTAGCTTAAAAATTCATTTCATATATTAAAATTAACAATGTAAAAACTAATAACTAAACAAGTAAAAATTCTGAGTCTGATTTTATGAAGTATTATAAATATTTTTACTAAAAATAGAAAAAAGAAAGAAAAGAAAAACAAAAGAAGTCCAAGGAGAGTCCATCTGTCCACTATAAAAGGGTGTCCCATCTTTCAAATTTTGAGGTGCATAGACAAAGTTGTTGACAGACTTTGTTTGTATTAAGTGCACAGTTTCCAAGTATTGAGAATTTCATCAATGGCGTGCTTCCTCAAGAGAAGATCTATTGATGTAATGAAAGCTAACAACAGATTATTTTCAACAGAGGCCTTAGCAACAGATTCTCAATCATCATTTGTTCAGAGACTCAGAGATCTGCCCAGGCACCTTCCTGGAACCAATATCAAAAGTGAAGTTTCTCAAGTTAGTATTGCAAATTTCTTGAATTATTATTTGTTCTTCTTTCTGGTTTTTGTTCAATTTTATGTACTCTTCCCGCATCATTTTATCTTCCTGAGCCGAGAGCCTATCGGAAATACCCTCCCGTAACCCTACTAGTACGACTCCATTGGATTTGTTGTTGTTGTTAGTCCAGTATCATTTTATTTGACAATATTCTTTTGTTAGTCCATTTTAAAAAGAATGAGATATCATTTTATTTGACAATATTCTTTTGTTAGTCCATTTTAAAAAGAATGAGATATCATTTTATTTGACAATATTCTTTTGTTAGTCCATTTTAAAAAGAATGTGATAGTATATTATTTTCGTACCATAAAGCTATTATAGTCGTACTAGACATATTTTAGATCACAATTTTTTTAAAAATATTATTCTTTCTGAAATTTCGTAGTGAGTTAAATTATAACAAACAAAGTGAAATTGAGAAGTATCATTCATTATTTCTATGAAAAATTGCGAATGGGTACGTAACTCTTACCTAACCGATTTAATTTTAGTCGTTAGATTATTTTGATAATTTACAAGTTTGTTTAAGCTCCGGTTTAGACATAAAATTTGGTTTTTTTAAAAAAAAAATTTTGAAGATAATGTTTGTTCATCCAACTTGGTCATTTTTGAGCTTAGTGTCTCTTGAAAACAGTTTCTCTATCTATTCGGGTAGAAATAAGGTTTGCGTACAATCTATCCTTCCCAGATCGCACTTGTGGATTTTATTGGATTGTTATTATTGTTTGGAATTTGATCATTTTTAAATTTGAGAATTTTTTTAGATTTCAAGTAAAATGTATGTCCAAATACAACTTCATTTTCAAAAATTATTTTTCAACACAATTTTAATTATCTATTTTTTTAAATTTGAACTAAATTTATGTTAAAAATATTATTTGTTTTTAATTAAATAATATGTTCAGTCATACACACTCTCCCATATAAAATGAGAGGGATAAAGTTACAGTTGAAAAATCACCCAAATGATGACACCACTCTCCCATATTTTGGAGAAGTTTTATTGTGTGTCTCGTGCAATTGACATTAGTTATGTGAGATTTTTTTTCTTTCATAAATTTATAGACCTTAATCTTACAGTTTTGGATCTATAAAAATCTGGATCCACAAAACCGTGAGACAAAAAAAATATTTGGCACAAAATAAAATTTTCTCACATTTTGTGTCCTTGTGAGCATGTGGTGTTCCTTCTCTTGGATCTCTCGCCCAAATGATGACACCACCGCTTTTCCTGTTTTTAAAATTTATGAAAGTATTGTCAATTTTTTTTTTTTTTGGCTTTCACAAACGTATTGTTCGATAATTATATTGGAGCCCTAATTAATTTAATTTATATTGCGTAAAATATATTAAGAAAAAATACCTCCTATCAAATAATTCTAAATACTCGAATTGGAACCTCTTATTAAGAGCCTATCCATCCTTGATCCTACCATAATTTTTTGTGGTGAAAGTATAGTCAATTCACTTTACTTGCTATTGAAACAAAGGGGAGGAAGCCAATTCTCTTTTCTCCTCTTTTTCTCTTGCACTCTATTTTTGTTTGAAATTATTATGTTATGAATAATGTGATCCCGTAGAATCCACGGCTATGAATGACTCGACCTTGGACAGATGAGCTATTTATGAATTTAGGTAAATTGCAGGAATAATTTGAAAAAAAAAAAACTTTATATTTTGATGTAATTTTATACGTATGTTTTAGCAGTTAATTTATTCTTTTTCAGATGACCAATAAATAATAATTCTAATAAAATATTACAGAAAACAAATGAATTAGGTGGTTGTGTTTGTTCGGCGCGCTTTGTCGGAACTTTGCATCTATCTTCCAATGTTCTCATTCTGAATTTTACGTGATTTTTCTGTTTCCTTTAATATTTTTCTCTTTTATTAATTGTTCCTTTCCTCTTTGTCAATTTTTGTCAGTAGGTCAGTTTTGGCAATTTTGTATTTTAGTTTTTAAGCTAAGTTGTTTTCATCACTTTCCTACTATTAACAAGGGAGAGTGAGAGCTGCATCCGGTTACATATTTCGGGTCAAAAAGGGTACTTTTGTAACTACATCATAATAAAATGATTGTATTGGTATTTTAGTATTAAATTATTTCTAAATATAGAAAGATGTGATTCTTTTTGGACTGACTTAAAAAGAAAGAATGTTTATATCAATTGATATGACAAGAGTATAACTTGTGTAACTATAAATTTTTTGAAATTAATGGTCTTAAACATGCAATATCATTCGTGGGTCTACGCAGGGTCGGGGGAAAGGTGGCACTCCAAGGGAGTGTAATATACGCAGTCTACCTGATGCAAGTATCAGTGGCTGATTCTACAGCTCGAACCCGTGACCTATAGGTCATACTGCTCCCAGGCTCCAACTTTAGCGTATAAATTTCTGATGAAGCGAATTTAATTGAACCCCTATGGACGATGCAGTTCCACCCACAATTAAATAGAAAGTGAGGACATCATTTGTTTATGTGATGGAACTGTTTTCTTTTCATGATAAGCTTATGTGATGGATTTGTAATATATTTTGCAATTCAGCTCATTGGGAAAACACCATTAGTTTATCTTAACAAAGTGAGTGAAGGATGTGGTGCTTATATTGCTGTTAAACAAGAGATGATGCAGCCTACTTCTAGCATTAAGGACCGGTAAATTTTTGGGCTTGTGACTTTCAGACAACTAAAAGCCCTCTTTCATTTCTATATTTTCTTATTTTGATATTAAAATTCTTTTTCCATTTTGACCAGACCGGCATTTGCTATGATTAATGATGCAGAAAAGAAAGGCTTAATCTCACCTGGGAAAGTAAGTAAACATGCTTCTTCTTTTTTTCCTTTTTTCTTCTCAAAATTACTTCATTCATTTTTGCCTACGAAGTTCAGGATGTTAGTTTGACTGGTATATTATATTAATGATTAGTCCACCAAAATACATGTAATAGTTAAAAAGTTAGTTTAGAGGGAATCTCACATCAAAATTTTAAATCTTGAAAAGTTTAGTTAAGTATTTGAAAATGTAGCATGTATCAAATATTTTGGGAATTTCTAAAGTAAAGAGAGTGTTAAGTACTTCTCTAGTCCCAAATATTAGTCATTTCTTTCGAACTGAATTGGTTCCAAAATATTTGAACATGAAGCATTTATTACTTTTGTTCAAACACCATCGGTATTTTAGACAAACTCATTGATTAAGACTATTAATTAAATGGCTTTCTTTAAATGGGTATACAGAAATCTTGAATGGTAGATAATATGGACCGAAAGTAGTAGAAAACAAGAACTTCCGCATATACATTAGTTGGTCAATCGTTCAGCGTAACTTGATGTATACATAAATCTTAAAAGGCAGATAATATGGACCAAAAGTAGAAGAAAACAAGAACTTCCGCTTATACATTAGTTTGTCAATCATTCTGTTTAACTTGATGTTGTTGTTTGCATAGATTTTGCTTCTTATCCATTTTATGTATAATATGCAGACAACACTAATTGAGCCAACATCAGGAAATATGGGAATAAGTATGGCGTTTATGGCGGCCATGAAAGGCTATAAAATGGTTTTAACAATGCCCTCCTACACAAGTTTGGAGAGAAGGGTCTGTATGAGAGCATTTGGAGCTGATTTAGTAATCACAGATCCAACTAAAGGAATGGGAGGAACTGTTAAGAAGGCTTATGATCTTTTGGAATCTACACCTAATGCTTTTATGCTTCAACAATTCTCCAATCCTGCTAATACCCAAGTACCTCTCCATTTTACTTGCTCTCAAATCTGCTTTTTAAATTTTCTGTTAAAGGAAATGTTCAAAAATGCCACCTTTACGATATGAAATGTCTTATTTCTACCTTCTGTTATACATGAAAGGAAGCCTTGGTGTAGCTAGTAAAGCTGCTGCCATATGACCAGGAGGTCACGGGTTCAAGCTGTGGAAACAACTTCTTGCAAAAATGCAAGATAAGGCTGTGTACAATACACCTTTGTTGTCCGGCCCTTCCCCGAACCCCGCACATAGCGGGAGCTTAGTGCACCAAGCTGCCTTTACCTTCTGTTATACTTTGGTGTCAATCATAGCTTGTCGTTAGCAAATCATCTTATATATGTCTTGACGTTAACGAAACTTTAGAGACATTGTACTAATATAGGCCATTTCAACATTGACATTGTACACAGGTTCATTTTGAGACAACTGGCCCCGAAATATGGGAAGATACTCAGGGTAATGTTGATATTTTTGTCATGGGAATAGGAAGTGGAGGCACTGTTTCTGGTGTTGGACAGTATCTGAAATCCAAAAATCCTAATGTCAAAGTAAATATATATCATCTTTTTATTTGTGAATGCTCCTATGAGCTTAATCAGTAGTGTACCATCATACTTATATATTCTCCTGTCTTGCTAGATATATGGAATTGAGCCAACAGAAAGCAATGTATTGAATGGTGGAAAACCAGGTAATTTACTTGACTTTCTATCTTTTGCTATTCAGCATACTCAAGAGGGGAGTATAACAAGAAAGTGGTTGCAAATAACATTTCAGAAACAAATTCTGCCCCTTTCTTTTATATAACTTTTTTCATTTGCTGTGGCATATGAGTAGTATTTGTTGTAGAAAGATTTCTAAATGTTCTATAACTTTCTATACAGGTCCTCATCACATAACTGGTAATGGGGTTGGATTTAAGCCAGATATCCTAGACATGGATGTAATGGAAGAAGTTCTAATGGTATGTTGAGTTCTTAATTTCATTCCATGCATAGCGGATAGCGGTTCAGAGTTTTGCTTAAATGGAACTACATCCAGATAGATATCGGTTCAACTGAATCCAATATTTTCTGGTCGGAACATAGATATATATGTGAAAGATAACAAAACTTTCAACAAATATTAAATTCTAAACCCATAATTAGAAGTACAATGAATCAAGTTTAAATCGTGAGTCCGCTTCTGACTATAAATAGTCATTTTAGTAATTGATACATGAACTATGTTTGGTGTATTGCAGGTTTCAAGTGAAGAAGCAGTAAATATGGCTAGGGAATTGGCATTAAAGGAAGGGCTAATGGTAAATTAGTTTCTGCTATATCACTCTCTTATTTTTTATGAAATGTGATGGATCTTTTTTCCGTATTAAATGGCATCATATGAATAGTACAAGTAGATGAGCTTATATGGAGCGACATGGTCAGTGACGATTCATATATCTGACACCAACTTACTTGGGATTGAGGCGTAATAATAGTTGTAGTAGTTGTTGTTGTAGTATGAGTAGTACAAGTCTGTTATGATTGCTTTATGTTATAGAAAATGAACCTTTGTCGGATAGGTTGGAATATCATCAGGAGCTAATACAGTAGCAGCGCTTAGACTCGCCAACAAACCAGAAAACAGAGGCAAACTCATTGTGGTATGATTATATAAGCTACTTTGATCCACTTTACTCAATGTTCTTTTTTTCTTTCTCTCAATTTTCATATGTTAACTGATTGTCTTGAATTTCTTGGTTTGGAATTTCAGACTATACATCCAAGTTTTGGAGAGAGGTACTTGTCATCTGTCTTGTATCAAGAGCTTAGGAAAGAGGCAGAGAACATGCAACCTGTTCCAGTTGATTAATGTCCTTTTACAATGATATATACTAGTAGTCAAACTGGTACAAGGAAATATATGTATTAACCTGGAAATATTTACTGAAATAATGTTTCTGCATAATGGAAATTCAATTTTTTTCTGAATCTTGTTTTTGCTCATAATGGTGTTGTGCCATGGACATGGTAGTATGTGTACTTTTTTTGGCGCGTGAAATTGCTAATGGCGGGAATAAAGTAGGTCGACGCCCTTTTTAGAATTTTAGAAACTTCAGGGTGTAGGATTAAAACTTCATAAAAGGGTTTTCAGACTCATTTAATACTTTTTTGCTCTGGAGTCAAAATTAGTCGTCTCTCTCATCTCCCACTCTCGCCACTCTCCTCTTCTTGCACAATTTCAACCCACGATTATCGTCAGTTTTCTGGTCTGTGAGCATTCACTGAAACAACGCAGGGGCGGAGCCAACGAAGAAGCTACGGGTTCATCTCGTGTATATGTGCTGAAAATTCAATTAAATAAGTAATCCCTCTGTTTCAATTTAGACGAGCTAGTTTGATTCGATATGGTCTTTAAGGAAAAAAAAAAAGACTTCTGAAACTTGTGATCTTAAAACATTAAGGGGTAAACGCTTTGTGGGGCCATGACTAGAGCTGTCAAAACGGGTCAGCCCAAGCCTCGCGGGCTTTTAAATTTGGAGGGCTAGGACGGGCCGGGCCGCCACATGAATGGGCCTTAAAATGGCCAGCCCAGCCCAGCCCTAAGAAGGCCACGAGCTAGGGCGGGCCGGCCCTTCAATTTTTTTTAAGAAAAAAGAATTTCTTTAAATCCGTAAATATTTTTTCGTGACATAATCGATTAATCATGTAAATAACTTCTGTTTGTTTAGATAATTTCTTTCATTTTTCTCATATTCAGGGATTGCTTCAATAAGTTTAAATACTGAGGTTTTTTAAGTTAGGATTAATATCATTTGCTGATTTCATCATTATAGACCATAAAATTTTTAAATTTCTTGAAATTTGCTAGTGGTCAATTTTTTTTTTGGTGTTTTCAAAAGAAAGAATTACAAGAAAATACACATGACTTCACACCATAACAAAAAATGGCCCATGTTTTTAAGTTTTACCCAACCTAGCTCATATTGTACATATTTTGAAAGCACTAGCAAATTCAAAACTTGTGTTCTTACAGTCATTGCTTCTAAAAGCTATGGAGTTAAATGTGTTCTCACAACCATTGCTTTCACTCTCTCTTCTTCTTACATCTTCTACATATGCTTCAAAGGGTCGTCCGCCATTGATGCTTGTTACCTTGTGTCATCTAGTTGCAATGTAAGAAAATTGAAAAGTAGAAGTCCACCATTGAAGGCCATTCAAAGCTTTGCTTTCGAAAATAAGATTTTTTGAGTTTGTTAGTTGTTTGGATTGAGTGTTGTTCCAATTGATTGAAAATATCAAAAAAGATTCAAAATTTAAATTTGAAGTAATTTGGAGTAGATTTGAGCAAGATTTGAGTTAAATTTTAGAAAAGACGCAAGGAAGAAGACGAAGTCAGTTTTTTGTATAATTATGTATAATCTTGTATAATAGTGTATATGAGTGTATAAACACATCTTATACACTATTATACACTTTTATATACCTTTATACAAGCGTCCGTAGACGAACTTCTTCCATGATTTTTAGTTGCAATTCTTGTTCAAAACCGGTCCAAATCTCCATTAAGTGACTTCAAATTTTATATACAACATCCTTATACTATTTCTAACAAGTCTAAATAACACTCACTTCAAATTTCTCACAAAATCAAATTCGAAATTTAAACTCACATGTTTAATCTTGTTAAAAACTTAATTTTCACCATCCAAATAGATTTGGTTTGTTAAACTAATATTTGAGTCACAGTTACTGAATCAAAAATTAACTTAAAAGCTTGAGCAATCTTTTTTAAAAATTAAATAGTAATTTCTAGAACCTATTGGAATTGGATGTTGAATCTTAGCCTATTATTTTTGGGCTAGTTGGTTGTAAATTAAAATATGGGCTATAAAATTAAAAAGGAGGGAGTTCAGTTGTTCTTACGTGAAATTTTCCCTTTTCAAAAATAATCTTCTTCTATACTAAAGAGCAGTTTAAATATTAATAGTATATTAAAGTAATCCAAACTGATCATTGGCCACTTAAAGTAATATTTTCTTTTGAAAATTGATTATTATTGCTAAAACTTTTCGAGTTCGTTATTAATTAAGCAAAAGAAAATCTAATTTTGTCATATTACATGCATGTCGAAAATGTAAATTCTAGCTGATATGGAAGGATAAATGAGCAATCTAGGGTTGGGTAATAGGGATTATAGTTAATAGTTTTTTTTAGTTTTTACTTTTTTCAATATTTAATAGTTAATAGTTAATTAATTTGTTAATTTTTAGCCCACGGGTCGGCCCAGGCCCAGCCTCGGTCAAGCCTCAAGGGCCAGCGGACTGACTTGGGTCGGGGTTATAAGCCTCAGTTTTAAATGGGCTAAAAAAATTCTAGCCCAACCCTACCCAACTAGCGGGCTGGGTTGGGCTGGCCTCATGGGCTAAGCCCATTTTGACGGCTTTTGTGTGGTTATAAAAGTTTCTTATTAAAGGTAAAATGGGTAAAATGAAGAGTTTCAAGTTGAATTATTTCCAAATTTAGAAATGTGTCATTTATTTTGAAATAGACTAAAAAAGAAAGTAGCTCATCTAATTTGAAATGGAATGAGTATAAAAGATAGAGTTTGAACCGAGTAAATTAGACACGATATGGTAGAATTTCAAATTTGAACTCATAAAGTTCAAATTTTTGATCCGCCTCGAAAAACAAGTGATAATGGGAATTAATTTTTTTGTGAATCTTGGTTGTGCTCATATTGGTGTTGTGTCACGATAGCATGTAAGCTATACTGGCCTGTGTTAACAGCTCAACTGCAAGTAAATAATGTATTTGGTCTACACTTAGTGGTAAAGACACTCTTTAGTAACTAAAAGAGAAATTTTCATAAAGCACAATTTTTTAGTGGCAATTAGTTATCTATAGATACCATTTGCTATATTACGGATGTTAAACATAATATTCTGTATATATCTTTTGTAGTTATCTATTGCACTTATCTTCAAGGATATTAGATTGGTCCTTTGTATGTATTACTATAAATACCTCATTGTAATTATATTGTCATCATCGAGTATAATATTGTTTCATGGTATCAGACGCTTACAACTTGTTTGGATGATTGTTACATATCGTTTCATAATATATCGTATCGTATTGTATTGTACTGTACTGTATTATTTGATGAATACAATGTTTAGATGGATTGTATCGTTTTGCTGTCGTTTTATGGTATCACACACCAGTAATATGATGAATAAACTTGCAATATTATAAACAAAAATTATGAGACGGTATATAAAAAGGTAGGGTAAATGATAAAATAAAATTATTTAATAATAATGAAAGGTGATTGAGGGAAAAATACAAGGAAATGACGCGACCACATCAAATCGGTCGTTACATAAAGTGGCACATTTCATCGTTACGTAACGACAGATTTAACGATACGATACAATAAAATTTAAGTAACAATTAAAATAAACATTATATTTAAAGTAACAATACGATACGATACAACAGGTAACAACCATCCAAACAAGCTGTTAGGCTTCTTCTTTCCTCCAACATTATCTTCCCTAATCAGATTCATGTCTTCTTCTGCTTCATCAGTTTCCACAACTTCGTCACCAGTCTCTACTGACTGTTCTTTGTCTCCCTCGCCCAACACTGTTGTTTCAGTCTCTAATATCAAAAACTTAATACCTACGATACTCGACTTCACCAACTATTTATTATGGAGGGAACTCTTTTTACCAGTTTTCAAGGGCCATGGTGTTTATGGCTTCATTAATGGAAGCTTTCCTTGTCCATCCTCTACCATTATCAAAGAAGATGGTACTTTTATTGTCAATCCTGCCTTTTAACATTGGATTCAACTTGATTTTATAGTCTTATCTTGGATTTAAGCAACTATCTCTCGAGAAATTCTTCAAGCTATTCTTCGTCCCAATTGCTCTCTTACTTCTAGAGAAGCTTGGCTATAAATTGAGCGCTTGTTTCATGATCAAGTTAGTTCTCGAACTCTTCAACTTAAAGTTCAATTTCCAACTTAAAACTATTGCAGATTCTCTAAACTCCATTGGAAATCCAATCTCCGAAACTAATCTTGTTCTTCAAATCTTATCTGGCCTTCTTCCTGATTATATATCTGTTAGCACTTACTAGAATACCACTTCCTTCTTTTACGGAGACACATTCTCTGCTCTTTCTGCATGAGGCTCAATTAACTAATTTCTCAATCTCAAATGCAGACTCTTCTGCTACTGCTCTTGTTGCAAAGCAACATTATACTTCTCATGGTCGTGGTCATGGTAAGAACCATTATGGAGATCGAAACTCTAATAATGGTCGTGGTAGAGGCCGTAACGGTCCTGGGTTTAACAAGAATTTTTCTTTCTCGTCTCAAAACTTCTCTCCACGCCCTCACCCTCGCTCTGCATCTATTCTCGAGCATGCTCCTTATTCTTTTTTCCCTTCTTCCCCGATGCATGTTCCTGTTCAGTGTCAACTTTGTTTTCAGCATAATCATACTGCTCGTGATTGTCCATCTCTTAGTTCCAAAGCATTTATTTTTGACCTCCAATCAGCTTCAACTCATTCTTGTGGAATGTCTGGTGATGCACAATGGTTCGTTGATACTAGGGCATCTTTTCATATGACCCCTAATCCTGGTAATGTATCCTTAGTTCTTCTTTACAATGGTAGCGATCGAGTTGTTGTAGGCAATGGTACTCAACTTCCCATTTCCTACACTGGTCATGGTACTATCTCTACTTCTTCTAATACCTTTTATCTTTAAAATGTTCTTATTGTTCCTGATCTCTCAAGTAATTTGCTTAGTGTTTTTAAATTCAATTTAGATAATAACTACTCCATTGAGTTTGATGGTTTTGGTTTCTCTGTTAAGGACTTCAAGACGAAACAAATTCTTCTACGTGCAATAGCCAAGGTCCTCTTTATTCCATTTCTTCCAGGGATCGTGCAGTTTATCAAGCTTTTGCAGCAGT